AGACTCACAATAATTGCATTTCTTCGACTTATCTTTGACAATTGTTCTAAGTCGTAAATTTAGACTCACACTTTACTTCATTTTGGTAAGGTGAGAGCTTCTTCTACTTGACCGTGAGTCCCCTGAGACTGTAGTGCTCGTTCGAAAGAACACAGGTGGGCTGTATTGGGCTCTATACTTCGATTTTGTTTTTTGCTAGCAGTTGTTCAACATTGAAATGAATGGAAATATTCATCAGGACAGCTATTCTAAAGTCTTGCCCATAAGAAAGATTTTGGATAGTTCTTTGAGTGCTTCTTTCTTCATTTCTAATGACACATCTCTCAATATATTTCGTAGTTTAGATAAATGCGTACCAATATTGTCAGCAGGATTTTACGAATTTGAAGAAGACACATAATCAAATCAAAGGCTCGATCTTCTGTATCTCCTTCCATCAAATGGTGAGTTCACCTTGTAAATTTTCATTTGAAGCTTTTGCATCACCTTCATGATGTTTTTTGTTCAGATATGTCGTTATAATAAAATTGATGTACTATCTTCCTTGGCATACTTTTCAAGCTCAGATCGTAGCTCTTTCTTTGTCTACGAAGTCTTTTTCGACGACATGTGGACCATGACCTTTTAGAGCTAGTCTTATTTGAAATTTTGACAGTTGTGCACTTTAGTGGTAAGACTGTGAAACTTTGTAGTTCCGTCCATGGCGATAACTCTAGTTTAATCTGTTTCACACTTATGAAGAACCCGGTGTCTAATCTTCAAATAAAATATTTGTGAACGTTCTCATTGTGTAACGTTCTGTTCCACTTTATGATAAATAGAGTCCTGTTATTTATTATGAAGTCTTTGGAAAATATTAATTACGTTTTCAAAGGAAAATAGACAAATTTTATTTAGATACACAATGACATCTATCGTAAGTATAACTAGCCAGTAACAGAAAGGTAACCATAGTTTCATCTACATAGGTTGATATGCTACAAAGTCTAACAATAGTCGCCATTTTTCCTCAGATCGCTATTGAAAATTTACTTTACTCCGTAAATCGTCACCGCAAGCAAATACAGTGATTTTAAATTAAAATATATTCACTTTACGCTCTGCTACCATGTTGGATAAAGCTAAATTAAAATAATCTGCAACACGAAAAAACATCGGTCTTCAAGTTTTATTAGTAGACTGTCAAATATAAAAAGAATTAATATTACCATACCATTGAGGTTATATACTCTAACAAAGACAGAAGCAAATGTGACAAAAACGGTTCGAGTCTAATTCATCCATAGATGAAGAATAATATATAATAAGTACCTGCATCTTCATTTTGGATAATAGATAATGGAGCGAAGTGCACGCTTCAGCTACAGTAACCCGAAGGAGCGCGCGTGGACATTTTTGACTGTGTTTTCAGCGTATTTAGTTGGCATGCAGTTGGTCGCAGATATACAAGAAATATACGTCAAACCCATTTCTGTATATAATCTGTGTGAACTTTGATTATGTCAAAGCATTTTGTTGTGTAATAAATATGTTGATGACATTTTCATTCGTTACTCACAGTGAATGACACAGATGGATATCAGGCTCGTGTGTGTTAAATTTGAAATATAGGTTGATAGTTAAAAGGGTTCATTCTTTGTCCCTTGCGGACACGTGCGATCTGCAGCGTACAGTAGATACTTACGTTTAATTTTGACGTCGATTTCGACGTGCTCGCCATTTTTTATGTTTATTGACGTTGTACGTCAGCGATTTTTAGAAATTTTGTAGATCGATATTGTTTCTCCGAATCTCGCTAGATGGCTAATCACTCGTACTGCTATTTGTTGTCAAAGCGATGTGTTTTATTGTTGTAATAAAAAAATACGCGGGAAAAGAGTTAAATGACTTTACCGAAGTGTGTCAAGATCTCGACGGTAAAAATAATTTCACTAATATAATAAAATTGTAAGGAGACGATGTCTATACATGGGGTGCGCGAGATACATACATACATACATATCTGTCACGCCTGTCTCCCATTAGGGTAGGCAGAAACAATGGTGTGCGAGATATTTAAGCAAAAATTAATATCTGGTGTAAATAGTTTAAATAATAATTTTTAGACATTTTGTCTGTCTGTATATTTGTTCCGTACGCAAAAATAACTGCATCGAATTGCTTTTCCAATTATGATCCTATAGGTGTAACTTAAAAACTGATGTTTTATCTCAATACCTAAAAGTAATCTATTTTATTAGTTTTCCCACAAAATGCGAGCTTATAAAATAGCAGGGAAAAAAACTAGTTAGAAATATTAAACATTGATAAATAGTTTTTGAAAATTAAGAGATAATTATGAAGTTGCTGTGCGTCAGGGGTGTTCTCTGGAAATCAGTCCGATTCTAGAATAAGGGCCGAGCCGCTGCAGTGTCCCAGTCCTTTCCGCTACTGTAGTGTCCCCCCCCCCCCCACCCATCCCCTTTCCTTTCCCACATAAGTCCTTTATTCCTCTCATTCAGCAATTTCCTTTACGCATTTCCAACATTCCCTTTTTTTTCTCAATCCTTACCTCCATATCGTAGGTAGTAGAAAGCACCAACAAATGCATTGCCAAAGAGGGTTGATGTCAGGCAGGCGGCCGGTCGTAAAACTATAAGCCAAATCTTTTTGGCTTGATAAAACTATATTTTTTTATTAGATGATAATGAAATGGTTACCCCGCCTGCGCCACCGGTATACACCGGCGGGGCACTAGTGAGGAATGATAGGTGAGGATGAAGCAGGTCAGTTAGCCCCTCGTGACGAATTCAACAAGAATTGTTCATGATGGTATCCAGGGGAAACCACGTGGATGCCGACCTGATAGGGTACATTGTTAGCAATGGAGCTGTTAAACTCCATTGCTAACAATTCCTTTCCCCCGATAAAACCATATTACGCGGACCCCATATAATAATTGGGGTGAGGGTAGGAAGATGACGATGTGAGGTTACTGTTTAACCCTTAAATACCTGAAGTTTCAGATTTGATACCGGGGTTATAAATCGCATTGGGCGCCTACAATCGATTTTATTTTAATATTTGGCTGTTATACATAATTTACAAAACCCTATGCTTTTTTTTTTAAATAAATATATAAGAAATATCGTTATGTTTTTTTTTTTTTTTTACTATTTTTCCCCATTAGTCAAAAAGTTGTTTTGCATTATATATTTTTTAATTTGATTTGAAAAATCAGTCTTTTAAGCGTTAATTATTGAATAAACGCTCTTAAACATGACATGAACATCTGGATGACACCAAGAATATTGTGTTAATTACAATTTTGGACCGGTGATGAATAACACCTATAGGAAACCAGTTTAAACCAAATCAAGGCGGATCTCTGACACAACTATACACTTCTTGTTTCATCCATTTTGAAAATTCATCCGATGAGAATAAACGAAAGCAAAAGGCCAGTGTAATTTGATGATGCACTATTATCGGTTGCTCAACGGCGGAATAGACAAACTTTGCAACTCTTAGCTCGTTGTTCTTTCTTACGCAGAGCTGCATGCGATTGCGCGCGTGTCGACTACTATCGTCACCGCCGGTTCGCACCTGTACTGCTCAGTTTGCTCCCACTTATCAGGCTATTTCTCTGCTCAACTCTCTGATTGCTCAGCAGCCAGATATTGACATATTTAATGACAAAATAGATATATTTTTAAAATGTTGTACCAAATTTGTAAGTTTGTAAAAAACCTATGGCTCACTACACGTTTTGGGAAACTGTAAGTGGAAGCAATTTTCAAATAAATAAATAAAACATATCAATGTAAGTAGCATTATTTTTTATTAAAAATAAAACAATACCTCCATAAATAAGCTATAAATTTATACAAGCATAGTTGTAAAATATCAATTATTTACAAATATTACTTACTTAATAATGATGAATGTATTCCATAAAAAAAAATGACTTCGACCGTCGCAAAATCAAATGTTTATTTAAAAAATCCAGTTCTTATTGATTTAGAAACTAAATTGAACTAATTTTGATAAAATTTCAATGGGACCAATCTAACCCTTTCAGACCTGAACGATACGGGCGTGAGTTGTAACTTTAAAACATTCTAAAACCGCGCGCAATTCATTTTTACGCACGAAGCTGGAATAAAATGTTAGTAAGATTCTAAACCAGCCAATAAGAAATCATTTTAGCGGTTAGGTGGTGCAGTAGTTTGCGTGCCGGCAAAATGACTTTGCTCCTAAAACACGAAAATATATTTAATGATATAAAAAAAAATCTTGGGTCTGAAAGGGCTAAAAGTCTTTCAAACAAAGAAGAATTTCCCGAAACTGTCTAGGAGTATTCGAGTGATCGGAGAATATACATAAAAAAATATAAAAAATCCGACGAAATGCAAACCCTTTTTTTTTTGAAGTCGCGTTTTTTAAATGGACTGTCAACAAAAAAAATTGCTTCAGGTGAGAGTTTGAGTATTTAAACCTAATATCAAAATAGGTATTACACGAAACAAAAACGATGTATCTACATCGGGGGTGTCTAACCGGTCGATCGCGCCGGTAAATTCGAGTTTAACTCTTACACTGTTATTTTAATTAATAACTTTAAAGGTCTTAACCAATTTTGCTTTCATATTCACATACCCTCATGGGTGAGTAGTCTGCTTTAGTATTTATTTATTTCTATCCATTATCAAGGTATATTTTTAGAAATATTTTCAAAATTAGTAACAAATTTATTTACTGTTTGTTTTATTTACATTATTTTTACCTGTACCTTTCCTGCACTGGATTACCTGCCAATTAATTATTTTCTCTCGCAACTAACTATGTTGGTATTTTGGAAGAGATCGGATTAGAGTTAAGAATTGCCAACAAGTTGTTAAAGTAATCGCTGTATCTTTTTTTTTTATACAACTAAGAATGGCAAACAAGCTGACGGTTGATGGAAAGTGGTAACCGTCGGTAGAACATGAGCAGTACCACGTTGTCATAACGTTCTGTTTCGCCAATGATACCTCCCATGCGTTGCCATTCCTGAAGACTCAGGTGTTATTCCTCTGTACTTAGTAAATTCACACCATATTCCACCCTTCAAACCGAAACACAACCATGCAAACACAACTGGTTCACGGTTGAAATACGAATGGGACTGAGGTACCCAAGCAATCGACTTTTGTACAGTCTCCCTCCCGCTGTATCTATTGTTCAAATGCAATAAAGAATATAAATAAATGAACAGAAAATGTATTAAGTGTCTTGGATGGACCTACGTGAATAAATGCACTTATATTCATTTTAATACAGAATTTAAGTCACTGCTTGAAAACTGAACTTCGATTGCATTGAAGTTGGCCTCGCTGTTAAATAATTATATTATTAGTATATATCTAGGTCAGTGGTTCTCAACCATTGTGCCGCGGCACTTTTGTGTGCCGCCAAATTTTGCAAATATTTAAATTTTTTGTCAAACTATTCATGCAGTGTGTTGTAGTAAGTAAATGATTTTTATCTTTTCCTTTGTGTGCCGCCAAATTTTGAAATCGTTAAATATGTGCCGCAACGAAAAAAAAAGGTTGAGAATCACTGTTCTTGGTTATGTTTTCATTCCACATCTTTAAGTGTATAACTGCTAAATTCAGTCCAAACTTAACTGAAACATTTACAAAACTATCTGGTCACTTCATCATCCACCACTTCTATCGGAGGGCAATCCTTGAAGACCTGCTGCAGTATCTCCTGACAGTACTCTTTCTCTTCTATATATGACTCCTCCAATTCTGGATGTTTGAGATGATCTTCTAGAACCTTCTTGAGGTTGAGACGAGGGTTCCTGCACTGTTGCAGCACAGTCGGGTCCAGACCCTCGACTAAGGCGAGGAGAATGCCCAACAGATGTTCGGTAGTGTCATCTCGTCCCGACTTGATTTGTTCCACCACTGTTTCCACAACGTTGTTCTGTATGAATTGTTCTGAAAATATAAAACAAAAATGTACCCTCTTATTCATAACACCATCAAACTGCTTATAAAACCTACTTGAACTATCTCTTTCTTTTATACTAAATTTAGTTTGCATGAAAGTGACAAAACAGTGTAAATAATAGTTAAAACAGATTTGACAGTATTATATAATAGTTAAGACAGATTACATTTTCGTTTTTTTGAATAAGGGAGTAAGGAATTGTGTTCTGAGGAATTGATCTTTTTTTTTACAACACAGGGGGCCAACGAGCATGCGGCTCACCTGATGGTAAGTGACTACCGCCGCCCATGGTCACCTACAACACCTACGGCATTGCAGGTGTGCTGCCGGCCTTATCGTATCGGCTCGGAAATACTGCTACTGGAAATTGATTCCAAAGAGTGGTTGTGCGTGGAAGAAAGTGCCTTGAAAAACGCACGGTGGAGGACCGCCACTCGTCCAGATGGTTGGGATGAAATTTTAGTTTATGGCGGATTGTACGATGTTGAAAATCAGCAGCAGGTATCAATCCGAACAATTCCTCAGAGCACTCCCCATGATAAATTCGGTAGAAGATGCACAGAGATGCAACATCTCTACGCAGTTTCAGTAGGTCGAGCCGGACAGTAAGACGCCGATCGTCAACAATTCGAGCTGCTCGACTTTGAATGCGGTCTAACGGAAGGAGTTGCTACTGCGGCGCTCCTGCGCACAGGTGAGAACAGTATTCCATGTGATTATTTGATGTGATGCCTACAGTCACTTTTTATCATCGCACCGCTCGCCATCGACAGGGAATTCATTCTTAGACACTTGAACCTAAATGGTCATATACAGTGCGATTTTAAAGGAATTTTCTCTGATGAACACTCAAGTTGTGGAATGAGTCCCCTCCCGAGGTTTTAGTAGGACATTGTTGTTCAACAAGGTAAGTTCGCCTTTGCTAACATTGTTATTACTGTATTATACATACTGTATTAAAACATACAGTAACAACTTATTGTTGTTACTGTATGTTTTAGTGCAATAAAGAATATATATTTATTGTTCCTTACGTATACGTAATAATACGATATTTCCTATATTAATAAATGCTATTAATTTTCGATACTTTTAACCCTTCTTTGCATAACGGTGGAAATTTCCATCATAACATTAAATTCCCAAAAATTATATAAAAGAACATGTTCACTTTAAGTTGATCGTGTCTGAATACCTTTTTAATGTCCATTGCAGAAAAAAAAACATAGCTGTCAAATTTATTTCTTTAACCATTTTTCCTTTAATTTTGAACATAAATTATATCACCTTGATTTATTTTACCAATAAAAAAAAATTATGCAAAGAAGGGTTAAATGACTACCGCATACTAATGACTATACCTTTAGCATCGCTGTAGTGGTGCGCAAGGTGCCTGACGAGGAATGCGGCGCGGGTCCTGGCGGCCGGCTCCGGCGCCCGCAGTAGCGCTGCGAGCGCCGCCACGCCGCCCTGCCACACCAGCTCGCGCGCCGCCGGCTCGTACTCGCGGCATATGCCTGCCATCACCACGCAATTTTTTTATTATATGATAACCCCATATACCATAGCCACATGTTCATTTGCCTCTGTACGCATGCGCTCGCGTGCGGCCGTGCGTGCGTGCGTGCGTACGTGCGTGCGTGCGTGCATGCGTGGTTGTGTGTGTGTGTGTGTGTGTGTGTGTGTGTGTGTGTGTGTGTGTGTGTGTGTGTGTGTGTGTGTGTGTGTGTGTGTGTGTGTGTGTGTGTGTGTGTGTGTATATATATATATATATATATATATATATATATATGTGTGTAGAGCATATGTCGAAATTTAATTTGAAACAGAGAAGGCCATAAGCTATTGTCATAAGCCTGGTTACATGGATAAAATTGCGGATTTTTTTATTAGACATAATGGGATAACAGAAAGAGCAAAAGAGCATGCGGCTTAACTAATAATAAGTTATTACTATCGCCCATAGACATCCGCAATATCTAAGAAACTACAAGTGTGTTGCTGTTTTCTTGAAGGTTTCAGTATCATATCTGTTCAAAAATACTACTGCTTTTTTATGGATGATAATGGAATAGTAACCCCGCCTGCGCTTACGGGATACGCTGACGGGGCACCATTGAGTAATGATAGATGGGAATGAAAAGACAGGTCAGTTAGCCCATCGTGATGAATACACCTGAAATTCAACTGTGGTTTCCAGAGAACACCACTTCGAGGTCGACCTGATTGAGTATATTTCTAGCAATAGGACAGATAGTCTGCATTACTAACTTTATCGTCCCCCTCCTAAAATACTACTGGTGGAAGTTGGTGCCTTGTTTTGGTCGGTTCCAACTCACATGATATAGCGTACAAGCACTTGGCGAGCGCGTGCCCCCGCTCGGACTGCACGAGGTGTATGAGCACGTTGAGCAGGCCGCAGTCGAGGGCGCGGCGCTGGCAGTGCGGGTTGTTCTGGCACGCCTCCGCCAGCACCGAGCTCGCACGCGACCGCAACTCGTCGTTCTCGCTGCCGTAGCATACCGGAAAGATGGCGAACCCGCCCATTTTGTAGAAGTCTGGAATGTAAAGCCCATCATGATGAATTCATCAGGAATTAATCATGAGTTTCTGGAGAGAACCGCGAGGAGGTCGACCTGGTTGGGTATATTGCTAGCAACAGGATTCTCAGTCTCCATTACTAACACTCCCTTTCCCCCCAATATTGCTATATTACCCACCCCTATGTCAGATAAATATGACGGGATTGGTATGGACATGAAAATGTTTCTCAGGTATATGTAACAGAGTGAAGGTTAAATAAATAAAAATATAAAAAAAAACACACCATTAGCAATATCGATATCATCAATATAATCCAGCAGGTTGTCGAATGCGGTCTCAACATCAGAAGGCAACGGTTCCCCCAGCTGGATGCTGCGGATCTTCTCTGTGTCTGTTAGCACTTTGATGGAACTCTGCAGCACCTCTGCCACATTCACTGTGAGACTCTTTAATGCGTCTTCGAGAAATTTCCGCCGCTGTGAATGATAAGTAATAACATTGCTTTAATATTTTAATATTTGCCATTCGCGTTTCTACCGTAAAGCAGTTGTGTTTATATTGCTGTGTTTCGGTTTGAAGGGTGGAATATGGCGTAAATTTACAGGGTACAGAGGAATAACACCTGAGTCCTCAGAAATGGCAACGCATGGAGGGTATCATGGGCAAAACAGTATACTCTGTTATGTCCATGGTACTGCTCATGTCTATAGGCGACGGTTACCACTTTCCATCAGGTGGGCCGTCAGCTTGTTTGCCATTATAAGTTGTATAAAAAAACAATAATAACTTGATAACCTGGGGAAAGGGATTGCTAGTAACGGGGTCTAAGGACTAACTAGCAACTAACTGGACTTTTTTCACTGTACTGCCACAAAGTTTAGCAAGGTGGTAACAAATTATGCAAAACTTCATTTTTAATGTTTTTTTTTATACTATAATTGGATATTTTTTATTATTATTATTATTTTTCCATTATTCTATTATAACAATGTTCTGTTTTTGGTTTTTGATGAATGCATTGTTAAATCTGTAAAACTCACCAAAAATATGTATATATGTTATAAATAAATATACTCTCATTCCATGTTAAAACATATGTAAATACTTTTTTTTTCTTAGAATGGCAAACAAGCTGACGGCCCACCTGATGGAAAGTGGTAACATCGCGCCTATAGACAAACAAAACTGCTTCACGGTTGAAACATGAATGGGACAAAGGTACCCAAGCAATCAACTTTTGTACAAAGTCTCCCTCTGATAAAACATCAACAAAAATTTACATAAGGATTATTAATATAACTTTAGCAAAACTGTGAGTTAAACACTAATATGTTAATACCCTTACCTCTTCATCCATGGGACTGAATTCTGAGTTCCCTGGTGCATCTTCTGCTTTTGTTGCTTCCATTGCAAACCTCAGGAGACCCTGAAACAACCAAATCAAGTCCATTTAGTTTGTGACTTTTGCCTTATTTGCATAAAAAATATTTACAAGCTGGTTAATATATGCTTTTAATCATTCACGTTAATATAAAAAAAAATATGTCATCAGATGACCAGCGAGGTTACAATAATAGAAAAGCCACACATGCACAAAAAAAGTCACATAGAGTAAAAGTGTTTTGTATTTAAAATTCACAAATAAATATTTCAGAAATGATTGAAGACGAAATATTTAAAACACAAGAACGTTTAAAATACTTATGTACTGTTTTTATGTAATAATGTTATTTAACTCCCTTCATCATCATCATCAGCCATTATCCGTCCACTGCTGAACATAAACCTCCTCCATAGACTGCCATAACAAACTCCCTTATTTTAATTGAAAATTTCATAAAATAATGAAATAAAAAATGAAATTTTACAATGTTCAATTAAATATTATATCTTAAACATCATCGTTTCAGGCATTAATCCATTGTCCACTGCTAAACATATACCTCCCATATAGACTGCCATAATTAATGTTCCAAGACCACATGCATCCATTGACTCTCTAGTACACATTCAAGGTTGTTCCATTTAGTTGGAGGTCATCCTATCTTAACCTGAACATTTGTATTAATATGTAAAGTAACTAATTTACCATTGTCATCCATGTGAACAGTGTTGTAAATAGCAGGATGCAGTAATAAAACATATATGTATTTGTGATACAAAATAATAAGTTTAGTGAAAAATTATGAGACATGTCTTATAAAAATCTGACACAGAACAAACTTAAAAATAATACATTGTTCTAAAAAAACCTCAGTGTCAACAGCCAGTATTAAAACTCCAACAACCAGGATATGTTCAGTAACCATGAAAATGTTGCCCATGTCATTTTCGATCCGATAAGAATAAAATACTTTTGTGCCAAATTTCATAATGATTGTTTAAGCCATTAAGACAACAAGAGGTAACAAATATAAAAATCACTTTCAATTTTATAATAAACTGGATTTCACCTGTACATGAATATATTCATGGGATATATTTACAGACCAGGATAAGAAGTAACCTATCTTTCTTCAACCCCTATGTATACCATATTTCATAGTGATCGGTTAAGCTGTTAAGGCACTAAGAGGTAATAAACAAACTCACTTTCACATTCAATAAGGATTTAAGGTTTCGCCATATAAAAGTATCCCTTAACTTTATTTCTATAAATGATAAATTTAATTCAAATAAAACAATAAATTTTTATTTACGGTATTTTAATTAAAATTTATTGTTTTTATTTGTGATAACATCTTTGTATTTATTTTTAATTTAATACCTTATGGTTGGGTATTTCGGTGCAAATAGACACATATTTATATCCTGGCAGGTCGACCTCCATGTGAAACCATCTTATTAAATTCCAGGTGAATTTATTATGATGGGCTAACTGATCTGCCTTTTCATTCTCACCTATCATACCTCACTGGTGCCCCGCCAGCATATATTGTTAGCCCAGGTGATTACTATTCCATTAAAATCATTAAAAAAAAATACACACATATTTTCAATTACAAAAAAATGTGTACATGAGTGAGAACTTTTACTGAGTAATATTTTATGAATGTATTTTTTTACGTAAAGTTATACAGATAAATAAGTTACCTGAGACTCCTGGGCTGCCGCGGTTGTACAGGCACGGATTGCATATTCTGACTGCTAACAGGATATGTTATTGCACCAGCTATTTGGTTATTTTCAGGATTCGTACCCATTATTCAAAATTGAATAATAAAAAAACAATTGACAAACACTCAACTGTAACTAACAGGACATATATCTGTTCTCACGCGTCTTCTTTATATACTAACACAACAACGACGTATTGACGAATGAATAATGTACGCAAAGGAAAATAGAACACAATATTCTATTCTATTCGAGAAAATTCAAGAACCCCTAAGAAGATGGAATCATAGAAATCTTTGAAGAACACGCGGAATGCGTAATTCTATTTTGACATTTTAATTTGACATTTCATTATGACATTGACAGTACCATTTGTTGTTGTTTTAATATTCGTCCAAATAAGACAGACAAAGAGTATGGCCCATACAGCTAAGTCATAAGTTATTATCAGTTCCTTATAAATGGAGTGAAAATTATTTCATAATATGTATTATATATATTAATCTTCATAGGAGTTGTAACTACCAAGCGTCAGAGTTCCTAATGCTCTTATCTCAAAGCTTTCAGCTATACTGCCATATCTAAAAGTACTTACTTTCATATTTCTTTTATATTAAAAAGTTATTACAAAATATTATTGATCCAGAAATTAAACGAAGATAACGGCTTACAGACATAGCGCTTTTGCCGTTTTTATTGATGGGGTAAATCTTAATTATTACTACGTAAAAACGTTATACTAAATCTATGAGAAAAAAAATTAAAAAAATATTGATAGGCATAAGGCTACTAATGAATATTATCGTATTTCTAAAAAAATAAGAACACAATATAACTTATAAAAAAAAACTTATGCAGTACTTACATTTAATTCTATTTAAATACTAATGATCCTTGCTAGATGGAACATGACTTCAAATGCATTTTCAGTAGCCGGTGGATGCAGGTGGCTCAGAACCGTATAATAGTTTCCAGGGAGAACCGCGAGGAGGTCGACCTGATTGGGTATATTGCCAGCAATGGGACTCTCAGTCTCCATTACTAACAATTCCATTCCCTCCTTATGTTCAGCAGTGGACGGATAATGGCTGAGATGATGATGTCTGATGATAGTAAGTTTCTAATATTTTTAAATTATAATGCTCTACACTAAAGAACTTACTTTTTACTTTTAGCCATAAAAAATAGGTTAATATGATGTCGTGTGAATGTCCGTAGATTAAGGTTTGCAGATAATTGTTCAATGAGTGGGTATATAAACAATTATTTGGAATACTGATGTTTTTAAAGTTATTTAATTTAATTAATTAATTAACATTTCTGAATAACTCAAGTCGTGAGCTAATTACGAATTTATTTCTTTATTTTTCTCACGACTAGCAGCGGGATGTTTTTTTTTTTCTTGGTTTCCCGCGCTGTAAATATTTACAACTGCCGTAGGCACAATATACATTGCATTAATCTCTGATAATTCCTGAGATAAACTGTTTCGAGATAAACCAAGTGTAATAATATATTTTCATAACGTCAGTGTCGACCGTGGATATGACTAAACGGCATTGTTGTAGATTAATTAATAATTTTAAAAATTAAAATTAGGTAGAGTAAGGTCACTGCGGAATTGGAGTTTATACAACACAGGTCAGTACAGCTGTATATATATACATACATATTTAATGGCAGGCAATTTTCTACTTAATTGTCGCTAAACACGTACCAAGTTAATTTATTACTAATAAAATAACTTCATTTATTATATTTGATTGTGCTTTACTTTTGACATTTTTTTTTTATGTATGGTAACGGAATAATAACCCCGCCTGTGGCAACTGTATAAACTGGTGGACTACTATTGAGACATGGTAAGGTGAGGATGAAAAGACAGGTTTTTTTATGAATGATAATGGAATAGTAACCCCGCCTGCGCTATCGGTATACACTGGCGGGGCACCAGTAAGGGATGATTGGTAAGGATGAAAAGGCAAGTCAGTTAGGCCATCGTGACAAATTCAACAATAAATTAGTCACGATAGTTTCCAAGAGAAACCGCGTGGAGGTCGACCTGATAGGGTATATTCATAGCAATGAGGACTAACCTCCCCATTACTAGCAATCCCTTCACTCCCGAAAAGGCAGATCAGTTAGCCCATCGTGGGTTCACCAGGAATTAAGCAAGATCCAGGCGAGAAATGAATTTTTGAATTTTTATTATTATAATTATGTCATCCGTTAACTTTCCACTGCTGAATATTGGCCTCCCCCATAAGAGAGGGTGTTGCCACGCTTGGTGGGCACATTAGCAACTCTTCGACTTCAGTTCGATGACATCCATTTTCAGAGATGTCACCTCGACAGGACCACATACGAGAGACGGAACGAGTGTGTCTGCCCACGCAGCCGCGGCCGCCGCCCCCGCCCGCTCCTGGTCGCCTACAGAGACCTCTGCACGACCACCCCGCCAACTATATCCTACGACCCGCCAACACGACACGCAATACCGTCACAATCACAACGCGCTAAATATATAATTTGAAATTTGAAAATGGAACTCTTCGTTCTATAAGTCTGGTTTACATAAAAAAAAGTTTTTATCGTGTTTTTTTTTTTATTTTATATTTTCCTCATCTTCCTTGTACCGTACTGCAACACTTACTCAACAGTTTTTTCTTTTTTATACCATTGAAGTGACAAACAAGCATACGGCCCACCTGATGGTAAGCGGTTACCGTAGCCTATGAACGCCTGCAATACCAGAGGTATTACGTGTGCGTTGCTGACTCTGAAGAAACCCCTTTACCCCCCTTTTGAAGAACCCCATGCTGTAGGCCAGTGATTCTCAACCACTGTGCCGCGACACTTTTGTGTGCCGCCAAATTTTAAAAGTGTGCCGCCAAATTTTGCAAATATTTAAAATTTTTGTCATAAACTATTCATGCAGTGTGTTGTAGTAAGTGAATAATTTTTATCTTTTCCTTTGTGTGCCGCCAAATTTTGAAATCGTTAAATATGTGCCGCAACAAAAAAAAAGGGTGAGAATCACTGCTGTAGGCTCTTGGGAAAACCTCGGCAGGGAGATCATCCCATAACCTGAGTGTTCGTGGGAGGAAACATCTCTGAACCCGCGTTGTACACGACCATTTAGGCTGTAAGGTATGAGCGTGAACTCCCTGTCGATGGCGAGCCGCGCGATGGGAGAAAGTGGCCGTGGTCATCGTATTGGCATTCATAAAAATCTGTTACAGACTACTAAGTCGACGTTTTAGACACTGTGATCCAAAACAGCGTAGTTTAAATACTGCATCCGCCACATCACATGCCTAATCAGAGAGTATCTTTTTTTTTTTTTTTAATGAGGGTCGTTGACACTGATACATGCCTAGACAATGGCGGACCGGCATGAACGTAGTGGGTAGGCCGTGTAAATTATTACAACGGAACGGTCACCATACTACCCTGCAAATTGGATATTAATCGCTCGGTGGGGACGCCCTCTGTGTGACACTACACTCGACTACTACGAGACTGTCTTATTTGTTACGTTGTAAATCTTAATATTATGTATCTATTTTAAAGGAAAACTAAAACTGTTTAATATATTAAGGACTATTACTGCATCATGCGGAGTATTTAGTAGTAGAGGGTAAAGAAATGGTAATCCGTCTGCATTATTAGTATAAGTTGAAGGGGCATCAGTCAGTTATGACAGTTGAAGAGGAAAGCAGGTCAGTTGGCCCATCCTGAAGAATTCAACTAGCATTGACCACGATGATTTCCAAAGGGAACCGCGTGGACCGCATGGAGGGCAGTTAGACCCTATTAGCGCAGGCGGGGTTACTATTTCATTATCCATTAAAAAAAAACCTATGATATCTTTTCTGGGCTTTTTTTTTAATGTATCATAATGGAGTAGTACCCCGCCTGCACTATCGGTTTACTCTAGCGGGGCACCAGTGAGGGATAATAGGCAGTTAGCCCATCGTGATGAATACATCTGGAATTTGACACAATTTCAGGGGGAACCGCGTGGAGGTTGTTACATATATTAAGAGTACGTGACCTAAGACCATGTGTCAGCCTACGACCTAATCATTATAATATTTGACATTCCTATTTGTATATTTGTATTTGTCCATTTGATATCGAAATCATTATATTGTTTAATATTCATATTTGTATATTTGTTTATCTCATACAAGTTTCCATTAGTAAGTTATTATCTGTATTTGTTGTCACTCTTTCGATGGAAGTATTTGACTATTGTAATTGTAAATAGTAATTAAGATATCTCTACTATATATATGGACGATTTGTAATAATAAAGACAGTTCAATTCAGATACTCTACGAGTCTAGTCATTTCAAAAACACCAACTGTGTTAAAACCCTGCCCCATAACAAGGTCGACCTGACGAGGTATATTGCTAGTAATGGGACTGGTAGCCCGTATTTCTAACAATCCCTTTCCCCCTACCCCTCTGTGGAGGGCTTTGCTAGTAGTTGCCATACTTGACAAGCGAGTTGGCAACCGTACTTAGGCTTTCCTTTAGTCGCTTCTTACGACACCCACGGGAAAAGAAGGAGCGACCCATTCTATGCCGGGAGCACATGGCGGTACTATTACCATTCTAATTTTATCCATTAAAAAAACTTCTTCCTTTACTTTACTGGCCAGTTCACAATTCTGCGATCTGTAATTATGAAAAGTTACAATGTACAGACAAACAGACACAAACAATGCAAATGGTGCGTCGACAATGGCGAACGATGGCCAGTACTCGGCAGGTGTCATTATTGCCACATAGTAATTGATTGGTAACAATAAAAATAAACAGCGCGCTGCGGGTCAACAGAACGCGCGGGCAGTCGACAGCTTGGCGGACTGGTGTTGCCAATCACAAGGTATAAAAGTCCACTAAGGGGTAAATATATTAAGGGGTAAATTATTTTGGTGTCTTGACCGAAATCTTTATATTACAATTGACAATTTAACATTATTATTTTATAATTAAAATTTTGTGTAATATATGATAGACATACACCATACAAATCTTTATAGATTTAATAATAATAAAAAAAAAAAAAAACTATGACTTTCTGTGTTGGGCTCACAATAAATTATATCAAATAATATATATTATTACATAATACTTATAATATTTCTCATAAGGTTTACAAAAAATATTTACATGTCAAAATACACACACTTCATACCTTGATTTTATTATTATACTCTTTTTTTTTTATTATTTCTGATCATAAATAATTTTAAAATATTTCATACTGTTCTTTTATATCTGTATTCTATTTCATTCACTCTCTCAATGAAATAGACATATGAATAAATGGTATAAAAAATTACGAACACGGATTCTCTGTTAGATAAATCTGACTCGGATGATTACATAAAAGGTTAAACATATGTGATAATTACGTAAATCACTTTACTAAACAAGTGACACACTGACAAAATGGTTAAAATATAGATAAATAAATAATAATAAATATTATCATTGGTGGGTTTCATAAGGGGCGACTAAGGGAAGATAATGGTCGAGGAATGGGTAGCAGTATGACAGTTAATGACTAATATGACGATATATATCATTGGACTTTTTATATAACACCATTTATGCAACAAGAAAAATTATGAAAAATAGTAACTGTCGCTTTTAGATATAAACAGCATCATTAGTTATATCTAATTATATTAAAAAAATGTACCTTAATTATATTCGTAATGTTATATAAAATCATAACGATTTATGTAGTGTAGTGACTATTTGATACCTCTAAACAGTCACTGCTTAAAACTTTTTACTGAACTTCGAATGCCAAACGCAAAGAAGTCCAAAATATATTGTGATGATCATGGTTTCTCTAAGACTATAAGGTGTTGTAACTTCGCAACCCTGTAATTTGATTACTGTTCAAATCAAAACATACGCCATGCAAGCACAATTGATCGTTGAAACATGAGTAGAACTAATATATACAAGCGCAGGACTTTTATACAATTTCAATATGTAAAGTAAAATTTGATTAGTTTAGTTTTGTATTTTATAAGATATAGTTTTGTATTTTATATATATTTGTAATTTATAAGAGCAGTTTATTTAGTACATAATTTTACATAGTATAAAACAAAGTCTCTTCCTAACAACTGTACGCTTAGATCTTTCGAGTTACGCAACGGATTTTAATGCAGTTTTCATCAGTAGATTGATTGATTGATTCTAGTGGAATATACATGTATAATATAATATAAAACATGCATACTATAATAAAAAAAGTCGATAATTCCAAAAATTTGCAATGTTATATCCAAAACATGTTTTTGTGCGCTTACATTGCAAACGCCGGCTATATCTTACGAATAACGTCAGAATATTGTGCTATAGAGTTATATATCTTAAATAAATTTACAAAAAAAGTCCTGATGATATTTGTCTATCTCCTAAGAATAACCTACAGTAACCATTTTTCTTATTACAAAAAATAATGAATTATTTACAAAGCTATTTTAAACAATACAACTAACTTATCCAACTAAATACGGTAGATACGTCGTGCTTTTATTAAATACTTAAATTGCCCTTTACAGCATATCATTAAAATGTATCTTAGAAGATATTAGAGATTTAAAATGCGCTGGTAGAGCGGCCGTCGGGCTGTACATTTAGTCTAAATGTATGGCCCATGCTAAGCAGGAGCGAGTTGCTAGTATGTTATAATTAAATAAAATTAATTGATCTCCAAAATTCTTGGGGAAATTCCTGCGCTGGCAATCCAACTGAAACCGCGACAAGTGACAGTCCCCCTAGCGCACGGAGCGGCAACATCGCTCAATCGATCCACATCACGTTCAGTTGGCGGTTCGAGCCGTTGTTGCCGTTCCACGTGAAAGCCCGCATTTCTGTTCTGTTTCCTCTTCGACTGACTTCAAGAAGTAAAAAGTCCTCAATTCGATTGTAGTTTTTTTATATTTGTCACACCACAACTTCGCCAGTTGTAAAGAGATTTGGAAAATTGTGGTATTGTATTGTAAAATCTTTATTGTACATAATTCAAATTAAGCACTGATAAATGATTCAATATACAATGGCGGACTTATCCCATAAAGGGATCTCTTACAGTCAACCTTTGAGAAGCTGAAAGAAAACTGTAGAATGTATAAGGGTAATAACCGTACAATTAAAGATAAACTAAATAATACCCAGTAAAAATTTTTATATATAATACATTAAAGTAGGTTTTATATGGAACTCAATTTCTTTTTTTCTACAGAATGGATGAAAAAAAAAAATGTGTTTGACATTAGTCGTTTACATTTTTATAAAACAAGATTTACAATTAATATAAGCCAAGCGTTTTTATAATGGTTGCTGTTTTTGAGGTTTTGTCTAAACATTTTCCTGTCTGGTTTAGTAAACAGTTTTAAGGTCAATTCTAGCATCCAAAATTAATAAAAGTTGTACGTAATACTTTTTGACTACTCCATCGGGGATTGCAGTCGTAAGCATATATTTTATTAGCCAATGCCCGTGACTTCGTTTGCGTAGAGCTGAATTTTATATCTCTAAATTGAAAAATATATTGA